AATGCAACAAAAACAAAGATGAATAGATGGGACTTAATTTAGCTAAAAAGCTTCTGCGCAGCAAGAGAAACAATCAGTAAACAGACAACTCACAGAGTGGGAGAAAATATTCACAAACTATGTATCTGACAAAGGATTAGTATCCAGAATCTATGAAGAACTCAAACAAATCAGTAAGAAAAAAACAAATATAAAAAATTAAAATGAGTCTATAAATGTTTTATAGTTGGACGTTAAAATTGAATAAATGATGTCTACAAGATTTTATTAAAATTAAATTTAACATTAATAGCACATTACTATAAAGGTAAAATTTAACTTATTTAGTAAAAAAGTACACAAAAAACAGTCAAATATAAAATGGTGGTTTTTTTTTAAGTCCCAAGGATGGCCGGGTAAGTCACAACGCCCCTCATCCCCAAGGCCATAGCACGCAGGGGCGGTGAAGTCCACAAGAAGGCCAAGACCTCAAGACGGAGCAGGGCCGCAGCAATCTTTGGGCAGCCCTGAGCAAGAATGGAGTGGAAGGTGTCACCATGGGGCTTCAAGCCCCGGGATATGCAACAAAAATTATATACTTATTTTCCACTTTCTTTTCCCTCAGAACTAAAAGGCTTTTAGCACAGGTACTACCCCTAGAATTTCCAGTACACCAGCACCAGCCTGAAAACCATGTTCTTATTAAAAGATAAAAACAAAACAAAACAAAACAAAAAAAAGAGCCATCCTGGGAAAGACCCTATCTTATGTTGTTAACCACTGAGACTGCCGTCTGCACAGCTGAGGAAGAATGGACCCATCATATTCGAGTCAAGAAAACATCTTCTTCGTTAGAATTATGGGTTACCGTACTAAGATTAAGCCCTACTAAGTTAAAGTTAAAGAAAGTTTCATTTAAATATATCTTTTATATTGTTTTTTCTTTTTAAAATTTGTTGTTAGCTCCTTTGTTATAAATGTAACTAAGTCTAACTCACCTTAGACCATTGCCTTTAATGCTTGTTTTGTCATACTTTGTGGAAATAAAAAAGATTTCCAGCTAGCCTTTTCACACAAATATTTATGTCCCGGTCCTCTAACTGACAGTTACCCATAGCACTCAACGTTGTGATCACCTGCAGCCAAGACACCGATTTTCTGCTCCTACAGCCTGGCAACCTTGTAATAAATGGGACTACATCCTTTAAACTACTCAAGAGCAAAGTTATACTTCCACAAAAAAGGTTTGTGCAGATCTAAAACCCTTCATCTACTTCACTAAAAGGGCTACCCCTTCTAACTGGCAGCCTTATCAATGTAACCCTGTCCTTCTCTTTATCACCACCTCCACCTTAACTAACTCTAGACCTGCCGTTAGTCGCTTCTATGGTACGGGGATTAACATAAATGAAAAAGACCCCCTAGGTATTTTTTAAATAAGCATGATTCCCCCATCTTCCCCTTCTTCAGTAGGCTCTGTTCTAGATCCCACAACAGTTGCTCCTATATCTAATAATAAAACTAGGGTATCTGTTGTAAAAATAAGAGATCTAAGACAGACTTTAGTCATCAAGACAATATATCAAGATGCAAATGCCTGGCTGGAATGAATTAAATATTCTGTTTGCACTTTAAACAAAAATGATTATTACGCCTGTATGCATGGAAGGCCAGAGGTTCAGATTACCCCCTTTCTACTCGGATGGTCTCCTCTTCCATCAGAAATGGACTGTATGGTGGCTGTCTTGCAAAATCCCATGGCTTAGGCTAATCCATCATGCCGAGCTCTCTATCTGCTATTTCCTGAAATTCAACACCCTGGGGGTCCGTCCCCGAGGGCAGTCTGGCTTCCACCTCTGAATGCCAGGTTTATTAGTTGCCTCTCATGGCAAGAAGAAAATCTGGTGTTCCTTAGAAGCATAAAAGGATGCAAGGAGCTCAAGCCTTTCCAAGAGCTTGTCCATCAGTCCACACTTAGCCATCCCCAAGCAAATGTATGGTGGTATTATAGAGGACCTTTCTCTAGACACTCTGCCAAATAATTGGAGCAGTACTTATGCTCTAATCAATTGGCTATCCCCTTCACCCTGGTATTTCACCAGTCTAAAATAAAAAAAGTAAAAACAAGACACGGCAGGCCAAAGGAAACTCCTCATGAGTCCTTTAATCCTTAGGTTTACATAATGCTATTAAGGTCCTATGAGAAGTGCCAAATAAGTGTAAAGCACAAAATCAAATAGCTGCAGAATTTAAATCCACGTTGTTCTGGTAAGTAACTATAAATTTTTTTAAAAAGTAGACTAAATAAACTGTATCTATGACAATCAGCAACGATTCATAAATTACACTGAGGACGCCATCAAAGAGAAAGCTAAGCAATTAGGACCTACCAGCCAGATGGCCTAGAAAAATAAAATAGCTTTAAATATAATATTAGCAAAATAAGAAGATATTTGGGTCATAATTAAAACTCAATGTTATACCTTTGTTCCTAAAAATACTGCCTCGATAAAACTATAACAAAAGTGTTACAAGGATTAACAGCCCTATCCAATAAACTTGCCAACAATTCTAAAATAAATAACCCTTTTTCTAAAATAATAAAACATTGGTTCAGTGGATAAAAAATTTTTTAACTTCAATTCTCACCTTGTTCGCTCTTGTTATTGGTGTACTTATTCTTGTAGGGTGTTACATTATTCACTGCCTTCGAAACTTTACACAAAAACTTATCTCTGCTGCTCTTACAGAGGCAGCTCCTAACTCTCCTCTACCCTATTCTGAAAAATGACTTCTCTTAAAAGGACAAACAAAACAATTAAGTCAAAACATATTAAACAAGTTTAAAGAAGAATTATGAAATAAAAAGAGGGGAAATTATAAAAAAGTAGAGGTTCCTCCTCAAAAACTTTCCTCCTCATCTAATTAGAAATAAATAGTAACTTCTCTTAAAGGCAAAATATATTCAAAGACCTGTGCTAACATTCTTAAATATCTACTAGCTGTAATAAAAAAATCAATGTACTTGATGTTCTTAGCTCCCACAATTTAGCCTAAATATTTGACCTAACATGCTTATACTGATCCAAACAAGCATTAGGTCATAGCCTGTTCCTCTTCCTTATTTAAAGGCGTTTTTACCTTTCTCAACATTCCACAAGTTACTTCCACCTTCCTTTGTTCTCCTCTGCCTTTGCCTCTTTTAAAAAGTTCTAAGTTGCTAGCCAGCTGGGACAAATACAGAATGTGAGGTCCCGTTCCAGCCACTGGAAACTGAACGCTGCAGTAGGGTGGATGCCTCAGGTTATAAATGACCTTGTCTCCTTTGTTTGGTATACTCTTGTGGCAAAACTGCTGGCTAGTGTACCCTTTCTACAAAAACTATAAAAATGGCCTTGTTGAAAAAATTAAATTTATATTCAAATACTATTTCTTTATGGCACCGGGGAACAAGCATTTCAAATACAAACAATCCCATCAAAAAGTGGACTAAGGACGTGAATATTCAATTCTCAAAAGAATATATGTAAATAGCCAACAAGGTAAAGAAAAACGCTCAATATCACTAATGATCAGGGAAATGCAAATCAAAACCACAAAATGATGCCACATTACTCCTGCAAGAATGACCATAATCAAAAAAATTGTTAAAATAGACGCTGGCATGGATGTGGTGAAAAGGGAACACTTCTACACTGCTGGTGGGAATGTAAACTAGTAGAACCACTGTAGTAAACAGTGTACAGATTCCTTAAAGAACTGAAAAGCTGGCCGGGCGCGGTGGCTCAAGCCTGTAGTCCCAGCACTTTGGGAGGCCGAGACGGGCGGATCACGAGGTCAGGAGATCGGGACCATCCTGGCTAACACGGTGAAACTCCCCGTCTCTACTAAAAAATACAAAAAACTAGCCGGGCGGGGTGGCGGGCGCCTGTAGTCCCAGTTACTCCGGAGGCTGAGGCAGGAGAATGGTGTAAACCCGGGAGGCGGAGCTTGCAGTGAGCTGAGATCCGGCCACTGCACTCCAGCCTGGGTGACAGAGCGAGACTCTGTCTCAAAAAAAAAAAAAAAAAAATGGGGTATGTATACACCGTGGAATACTATTACTCATCCACAAAAACGAACAAACTAATGGCATTCACAGCAACCTGGATGGAATTGGAGACCATTATTCTAAGTGAAGTAAGTCAGGAATGGAAAACCACACATTGTATGTTCTCACTCATAAGTGGGAGGTAAGCTATGAGAACACAAAGGCATAAGAATAGTACAGTGGATTTTGGGGAATCAAGGGAAAGAGTGGGAGGGGGGTGAGGGATAAAACACTACACATTGGGTACAGTGTACACTGCTTGGACGATGGGTGTATCAAAATGTCACAAATCACCACTAAAGAACTTATTCCTATAACGAAGCACCACCTGTTTCTCAAAAACCTACTGAAATAAATAATTAAAAACATTCAAAATGGCAACAGTGTAAAATCATGTACTGTAAGGAAACTTAACAGGTTAATATTTGAATTCAAATTAACAAATTAGAGAACCTCCTTTGTATACAACTTTGTCAGTGGGACATAATTTTGATCACTGCAAATAATTTTAATTTTCAGACTAGGTATTTTTATGGATCACTAAATACACACATATGTGTATTTTAATGTTACAAACTAGAAAGTATCACACACACACACACACACACACGACGTTTTCGAATTCACAAATGGAGAACATGTAATTTTAAATCCCAACCCTACAATCACTTAAAAGTTTATATAAAATTCAGAGTTTAATTTCTTCAGTAAAGTTCAGCTTTTCTTTCTTTTTAAAAATGTATCCTTCCTATCGTATCATTCCATCCAGAAAAAAAAAATTTTAAAAAGTAAATGTGAGTACCAGGAGAACATCTGTTTTCTCATGCCTCCTCCTGAACTCTGTAAAAAAACCTACAAATTTGTTTTTACCAAAACTTAAAGCAAATCATTTCCACTTTGGAAAACTAATATTTGCCTATTTAATTCTTACCTGGATAAAACTATGCATTTCTGAAATCAGTTTTGACATCTGGTTCTTTTTTCTAAGTCGAAAGCAGTAAAGTTGGAGCTTATCTCCTTCTTCACAGGGGATATTGTGACATTGTCCTGTCCCCACTACATCCATTTTTCCTCTGTCATCCTGAATTTCATAGATTGTGGTCTTCTGATTTACTGTTTTCTGTAACAAAATTAATATTCTGTTCCTGAGAATGTAATTAATAACAACCACATATGGGCTAAAGTCCCTTGTAAGAGAGTTAAACAAGATGCAGGACAGCAACTCCTAGTACAGATATGCATATATCTTAGGCCAGATCTTTGCAGAGAGCCCTCCCTCAATATCCTTTTTGTTTAAGTCTTTCCTATCTGAGGTATTTCTATGAGAGTTCTAGAACAATGAGTTTTCTTCCAAATTTCTACTGCTTTCACCTCCAGGGCAGCTATGCTTCCCATAGCACCTTGATACTGAGGAAGCTGAAATCTCTGATAGCCTTTTTAGGTCCCTGGCCCTACGCAAAAAGAATGGATATCTGCTACAACTATTTATTCAGTGAATCACGAGGAATCTGTAAGAAAAAGCAAGCTTTTAGTAACTCTCTAATTACTTTTTCTACCTTCTGCATTTACTGAGTCTCTTTCAATATTTGTACCCCCTCCTGAAACCAAGTCCTTGAGCTCAAACATTCCAGCTTTTCGCTATTACTCATCATTCTAGAATTGGGTTTATAAGAATCATCTTTTTAAGAGTGTGTACATAGGCCGGGCGCAGTGGCTCATGCCTATAATCCTAGCACTTTGGGAGGCCGAGGCAGGCAGATCACAGGGTCAGGAGACCGAGACCATCCTGGCTAACATGGTGAAACCTCATCTCTACTAAAAATACAAAAAATTAGCCAGGCGTAGTGGCACACACCTATAGTCCCAGCTACTCAGGAGGCTGAGGCAGGAGAATAGCTTGAATCCAGGAGGCGAAGGTTGCAGTGAGCCGAGATCGCGCCACTGCACTACAACCTGGGCGACAGAGCGAGACTCTGTCTCAAAAAATGAACAAAAAGAGTATGTACAGAAAGTAATGCAGGTTAAATGGCTTGTTCTAGGAAACAAATATAATGGATAGTGAATATTGATCAGATAAGAAATTGCTTGAATCAATAGCAGAGGATACATGCTTTTTTGGGGGGTTGAATGTCTCATGCTAACTAGTTTCATGAATTTGGACTGGAACATATCAGGAAAAGTACTCTGTGCTCTATTTTTTTGGTTACTTATATATAAATGACAAATTTAGATTACCTGATTTTCCAAGTATCATCCAAATTCATATTTCCCAATTGTTCCATTTCATTTGCTCAGAACATTGTCCTACCTACTTTCTGCATTTGTTTTCCAGCCATGAGTAGTCAATTTATTTCTTATTCTGACTGTCACAACCAGAACTCAAGCCTCAGAGGACAATACTTCATTCAAAATAAAAACAATGTGATTTTTACAACAGTAGAAATAACAACCAAAGGGATAAACTTAGTGTTACATGTGTATGGATGTAGACCTCACACTGTCCTTGATCACTTAGCATAGATAATAACAACTGATAAAGTCTTAAGGTTTCTCAGTGAACATTACCGTAAAGACTAAAGTTTAATGTTCTGGGATGGAGAACATGGGAAAGAAACATTAACAGGTCCCCTAATCCCAGTCTTATCTTCAGAGAAGTTTTTATCCACCTGCCATTAGTCTTCAGAGTCCTGGATTCCAATATCCAGTTTATAGGCAAAGCTTCATCTCACACATCAAGGCTTTTAATTTTAGGTGTTGGTGGAAAAATGAAACAAAAAAATTTTGAGGACTTACCTTATGTAGCATAAATATCCCATATACAATATTTCCTGAAGCTTGTTTGTGAAGAATATCAGTCTTCAGAGTTTCCTTTGCTCTGTTGATGATTTTATTTGGAACCTCAAACATTTGGTTAGGACCAGCTTCAGATACAGAAGATTCTTCGTTGACCTCTAGGAGACTATCATATTCCAAATAATCTGATATGACGATGATTTTCTTTCCATTGAATTTCTCCTTCAAGTTGGTGTTTAAAACCTTCACATGGAAGAACTGTGTCTGTGTAGCCACTGTAGCATGAAACATTGTTTTTTTCTCCATTTCTGGGGTCTCGTATTCAAATGGCTTCGTTGTACTCAGTACCTTCACTATCACTGGGCCCTTTTGGAGAATATTTTTTCTGGGAGTTACCGGACATTTGGCCACTGTTTTCGGGTTCTGTGTATGATAGCACAGGAGAACAAAGAAAAATGTCTGATCGAGAAATACAGAACTGCTATTCAGTGAACTCAGTATAACATAGGGCCCCAAAACTTGCACGGATGTTTAGAGCTGGAGTCAGGATAGACAGGGATTGCTAGCCAGGGCAGAAGATACCTTAAACTGGTATAATAGCAAGAGGAAGTAATAGAGGAGACCATATAATGAAAAGATGACCTTTCTCTAAACAGAATCATCCTTAAGAAATAAAGCATAAGAGCAACATAAGACCAGTGGATACTGAAAGCCAGTGTCATGAAGTAACTTAAAATAAATTTTAGGGCCAGGCGCGGTGGCTCATACCTATAATCCCAGCACTTTGGAAGGCCGAGGTGGGTGGATCACCTGAGTTCAGGAGTTCGAGACCAGCCTGGCCAAAATGGTGAAACCGTGGCTCTACTAAAAGTACAAAAATTAGCCAGGTGTGGTGGCAGGCGCTTGTAATCCCAGCAACCCGGGAGGTGTGGAGGCTGCAGGGAGCCGAGATCGTGCCACAGCACTTCAGCCTGGGTGATAGAGCGAGACTCTGTCTCAACAACAACAGTAAATAGATAAATAATACATTTTAGAATGAAATAATTTCTTATACTATTTCTCTTACCAGCTTAAAGTGCCAGAGCCTAAAAATAGACAAAGTTAAATGACACTTAAAATGAAAAATGGTGCCCACCACAAACTACAGACATGAAGAGTGTTCAGTTATCACCAGTGTAGACAGGGCAATTTTAAGAGCACATCTCGTAGTGTTTCTACCCAAGATTCAGTTAGCTTACAGCGGGTGAGAACACATGTGCGATCAACCTCTCAGAATGCCGTCATCTCAGTAGGCTCAGACTGGAGACACTCTGCAGAGTGTCATTCCCACTACCATTGCCTTTCTCAGTGTCAGGGCTCTAGCAGGTAGCATGCTAACAGAAACCTGGGGCTCAGAGTGGGTTTTCTTTAACGTATTTTCTCTTTAACATCTCAGTCTCCTTGAATTGCAATAGAACACTTTTAATGCAGGGGGGTTGTTTATAAGAAAAAGTGCTGAAGGTATGGATAACCTCATTCACAAACTAACAGGTGCTGGAGAGGTCTGACATGGAATACAGTACACAGCGAGCCCACAGCTGACAGTTCTGTACTCCACAGCTCTCTCTCCCTTCCCCAAACAACACAGGACAGAAAACTTTCTGCAGTCAGAGATAATGTCAAGTTCATCAAGTATCCCTGTGGAAGCAAAAGATCAAAATGTAGTGTTTTCTCAATACGTACATTTGATTAACTAGCAAATTATCAATGCAATTTTTAAGTAACAGATGAAATCAGTCCTTTACTTTGGGTTGAAAAAAACAAAGCGAGACGGGACCAGGAAGAGTGTACCTCAGCTGAGGAAGTGTTGGGTGGAGCTGATGATGAGGTCTTGGGAGGTGGGGAAAGGCCCACAGCTGCGGACAAGCCGGCTCCTGCAGGACAGGGAGGCTGAGTCTGCTCCTCGGACATCTTACTCCCTTTCGTTCCAGCCTTCTCTTTGGTTGGTTTTTTTCTTTTCTGCAAGTGGTTTGATTTTTCTGTTATTCGTTTTCAGTGCCAATTGAAGTAGAGCACATTTTCGTTATTGGATAGTCGTTTTATTATTCCTAAGAAGATGTTTCTTAGAAACTTGAGAGCTTGCTGCCCATCTCTGGTCAGTTGTAAGAGGTGGGCATAGATGGTTTCATTAAACGAAGAAAGTGGAGAATGTTATACACATTATTTCTCTAATTATTTCTGTTATGGGATGTGCTGACTTGGGATTAGAAAAACTAGGTTTTTATACACATGGACGAAGTATTTACTTACCTGACTGTCATGCTGACACTCCACTCTACTAGAATGAAGGTATCACATTTATGTTATATATATTTACATTATGTTTACTCATGTGTTTGGCTCATTGCTTTGATCATCAAAAAGATGTTAAGTTATCATACAATATGGTAAATCTGAAACTTGATGGGAAGCATGAAGAAATAACTGCCTACTGGAGAAGTTGAGTGGAAGAGCTGTAGCAGAGCTTCCTCTGTGGGACTTGAAGCCTGCTCCTCTCCCTGAAGCTTACCTGAGCTCCAGGAGTTGCCTCTGCTCCTTCAGTGTTGACAGTGCCGCTTGTGGAGGGTGCAGGTGAAGCAGGATCGACTTCCTTCTTCCTCTTTCTTGATGGGGCTAGTTGTTTTGCTGGAATAGATTCAATTTTATTCACAACCAATGCAGAGAAAAAGAAGACATATAAACGATCTCCGACAGCTGAAGCAGTTTCAATACAATTTGTTCTCCGTTCCTGCTTGAGGGTTCAGCTGTGCTTCAGTCTACCTCTACTGCATTAGCCCAGCCTGGCCTCAAGAAGGCCAGCAGTCACAAGACAGGCACAGGCACTGACTCATGCTCCTCAGCACTTTCCTCACTCCCCCGCTGTGCACTGAGCACATGCTTCCTGTTCTCTGAACTCCATGTGCTTCAGTCAACCCTTTCACAGTGTGGTTCTCCTATCATTTCCTTTTAAAAACAAATGTTTTCATGACACAGACTGATCACATTCCCCAGGTAAGCTATTTAAATTATAGAAACCAGCCAAAGGTTTCCATGAGGTAGGATATACTGATTTTGAACTTAGACTTTTTTAAATCCTTTTTTTTAAACTTGATATAACAAGAGGGGAGATCAGACTTCTGAAAGGCAGGCTCACATTTAAGTACTGCATTTTTTTAAATTATAAAGGGTTAAATAGTCTCAATAGAACAGATACATTAATTGACTAAATGTACATATTTTGAATTTAAACAACAATTTTTATGATTTTATTATTATATGAGCTTTCTAATGTACTGGAAGTCTCAGTCCCCCTTCAACTCCCTCTCACTTTTGTTCTTTCACTGATCCCAAATAGACGCTCTGAAATCCATCAATCCACAACAGTAATGGAATGCCCTAAGTTGTCAACTGGTTGGCCTCTGAAGTACCCACATTATCTCAGCAGTTGAGTCACAAATTGGGGAAAACACATCTCAAGTATGGCCGAGGTGGGGGTCTAATCAAGGTTGGGGAGGGTTTGGGGATGGTTGCAGGGAGTGGGTGTTCCCTCTTCCCAATTACCTTTTAACTTTTCTTTTTTAAGAGTTTCAGCCAGGTCTTCAAGTGTTGGTATATCTTTGAAAATTTGTATTAGTTTGCCCAAACCAGCATCACCTCGGAACTTTTCTTCCATCAAGTCGGCAATCTGAATTTTGTCATACTCTTCTCTCATTTTTACATTAAGTTTTAAATCCTTGCTCAGTAAAGACTTAACCATTCTAAAATGATAATCATTGATGACCTCTAATCCTTTCAGTAGAACAATGTTCTTGTATTTTTTTTCCATCTTTACAGATATAAGTGAGCCTACAAGAGAAAATGGTATACAGTGTTACACGTGTATAAGACAATTTAAAAGATGACGTATGACTATGTGAGTCAGTGGCCCATATGAAAGAGTTGTTCATGAATATGTGTGATAAAGAGGGACTTAATGACCAAATGTGTTACTGTAGAAATTGAGTGAAGAACTGCTGCGTTAGGAATGTCTAAGAAATTCAATTCTTCCCTTTGAATGAGAATAGTTGAGTTGGGTCCAGTTGTTAGAGGGAGGTCTGAGAACAAGCAATTGTCTCAGTGTTTAGTGTGTGAGCTCTGCAGTGTCAAAGCCCTTGGTTCCTCTTCTTATCCTTTACTAGGGCTGGAGCCTATTCCCCAGATCCCGCCTGTTGTTTCTTAAATCTTCCCACACCCACTATGACTGGAGTGGCCTAAGTGTAAATGGGCTGCAGCCTCCCACGTTATATGAATAACCTTCTGCTACAGCGCTACAGTTGCATGCTGGGGCACCGACACTATTCTCCTTGACTCTTCCCTAGTTGGCTGTCATTAGCATCCTCCCTTCTTTGGTGCTAGACCATGGCTTCTGTTCTCTGTACCCATAAAACCATCACTTTGCTGAAAATCTGCATGCTTTCTAGTGCAGCATCACAGTATTTATTCACTGAAATTATTTTATTGGTTGTTGTATTTTTCTTATTTCAGACTTGATTTGTCTAATTATTTCTTTTTGCACAACCAGTTTTCTCTCGATAAGCCACATTTATATTCCACTGAAATCCTTCAATATTTCTCCTTTTTCTTTCCAAAAATTCCTTGCTTCCTATACTCTCTCAGAAAATGTTGAAGAAGCTGCATCTTTTTTGCTCCTAGTACTTTTGTATTCCTTGTAGCTATGCTTCACAAAGATGCCAGACACCTTGTGTCTTCATGCCTCATGACTTTTCTAGTTCCTTCTTATTGCCTGGAAAGCCATTCCCACATTTCTTTCTTTGACTACTTCCCATACAACCTTAAGACTCAACTGAGGCTTTGTCTCCTGGTAGATTTTTCAGAGTCCCCTTACGGACAGAGTGTCACTCCTCTTGACCTCTTAACACCTGTATATTTCCATGATGACAGTGCAAGATATGGATTCCAAAAATTTTTAATTAATGAATTTTTTTAAGTTTGGGAATGATGTCTTTGTGTATCTTTTGTATAACCAAGAAATTTAAATTTCAGGGGCTATTAATTGGGCCAGGCGTGGTGGCTCACACCTGTAATCCCAGCATGCTGGAAGGCCAAGGCGGTCGGATCAGGAGGTCCGGAGATCAAGAGCATCCTGGCTAACATCGTGAGACCTCATTTCCACTGAAAATACAAAAAATTAGCCAGGTGTGGTGGCACACGCCTGCAGTCCCAGCTACTCAGGAGGCTGAGGCAGGAGAATCGCCCGAACCCAAGAGATGGAGGTTGCAGTGAGCGGAGATCGTGCCACTGCCCTCCAGCCTGGGTGACAGAGCGAGATTCCATCAAAAAAAAAAATTGCTTCGTTCTTATGAGAACAGGAGGATCCTTGGATTGAAAAGGTCCAGAGAATGAAGGTAAAATCTATACAAAAACACATTATAGTGAAACTGAAGAATATAATAAACAAAACTACTCTGTATAGATCACCTACAAAGATTCAAGAATCAAATTGAAAGTGAATCGCTATATCAAAACTGTCGGAAGCAGGACAATGGAATCGTTTTTATATAATACTGGTCCAAAGTTCCATATCAATTGCAAAACCAAAAAAAAAAAAATTTTCAGTGGAAAGTTTTGACTTATTTTGTGAGTGTGCTAGAAACAATAAGTTCCTCTTCAAACTTTCCTGTTCTTTCTTGTTCTATAAACAACCCTTTCCTCCTTTGCCACGCCCCAGACATGCCTTCCCGCCTAATTGTTAAGGCACAGTCTCTTCCTTCCTGCCTAATTAGCCCTGTACAATTTAAAGCAGTAGCCAATCTGGTCAGCTTAGACTGTGAGTTGTGACTGACGCAGGCAGCACCCTTCTGTAGAAGCAAATATGCTTTGCTGAGAAATTTCCTGTTTAAGTCTGGTTTTTCTTTGTGGCACCGAGCACATGTTTCTAAACAAGTGTGACAGCACAATTTATTTGCAAAATAAAACCAGATTTGGGATGACAGTAGGCTATGTATAATCTTTATTTCACTTAAATGTGAATGTTCACATGTTTTGTTTTGCAGTATTAGTGTTTGATTTTGGAGTAATTATTTATATCCCAGTGGAGTTTCCAGTAAGACAGTATTTAGAATATATACACTAAATAGCCTTTCTGAAGCCTCCAGATTCTTAATTTCAAAATCTATCTAGCTCCACTGCACAGAAGAGGTGCTTTCATCTTGTCTTAAGGGAAAATATAATTTTACATTTAGAGTTTTAATTTAGGCACAATGATATTTAAATAGAAGAGTCTCAAAAATTATTTTGTGATACTCAGGGCCGCGGTCTTTTTGCAAGACAAAGACTCATGCCACAAGAAAACATCTATTGAAAATAATATTTAATAAGAAAACAATGAATAAAATTAAAAATGCTGCCAGCCAAAAGATGAGAAGAGTGAAAAATAAACTTTTTTAGGTGCTCCTAATGCCTTAAAAAGAAAGCCCTGATCAAAGAGAAGAGAAACAGAAATTACAACAGCATGGTAAAGGGAGGGAAGAAAAAGAAGCATGACAATACACTAAAGCAATTGTCTTAGATAGTGAGATGATATAAATTTGTCATAAATTGAAGAAAAGATTGCAGATTGTTAATTACCAGCATATACCTAAAAGGTCTGACCTGTTAATTGACAACTTTCATCGAATTTGATTTAAGAAATCTACATACATGTTCTTAACAAAAAGTGAAAAAAATTGTTAAAAATTATCTTGCAAAGAATAACTAAAAAAAGCCAGTTTATCTATGTTTGTGTAACTTTAAATATACCTTAAGCCCAAAAGTAACTTCAGATACCACATGATAAAAGGTTCAATTCCTAGGAAATTATAACAGTTTTGGTTATGAATTTATCTAATTATATTATTTATTATTTTATAGTGCTTCGTGGTACTATAATTAGTATATATTTCTCTTCATATACACACATGCACAGACATCACTACACACACATATATTTATATGTATGTACTTGTTTGTCTACATGATTCCATATACATATATTTGTGTGTGAATGTATATTATATGTACACATACATATGTGATTGTGAGAGCACTACAAGGAAAAAAAACAGTTTTTTTTTTTTGAGACAGTTTTTTTTTTCTTGCTCACTTGCCCAGGCTAGAGTGTAGTGGCACAATCTCGGCTCACTGTAACCTCTGCCTCCCGGTTCAAGCGATTCTACTGCCTCAGTCTCCTGAGTAGCTGGGATTACAGGCACGCACGACCATACCCAGCTTATTTTTGTATTTTTAATAGAGATGGGGTTTCGCCAGGCTGGCCAGGCTGGTCTGGAACCTCTGACACCTCAAGTGATCAGCTCGCCTTGGTCTCCCAAAGTACTGGGATTGCAGGCGTGAACCTCTGTGCCCGGCTGAAAAAGCAAACTTTATAATAGGAGATTTCAGTTTATGTTTCAATTACTAAACGAACCAGGTAAAAAAATCTGTAATGATATAATACATTTGAACAACACAATTAATAAACTTAACATTTATCTAATAAAATTCTGAAATCAACATTTAAAAATCTCACATTCCATTTAAGCACACGTGAAATATTGTACCAGGCTATAGAAAACATCTTTTAAAAATTTGAAAAGTAAGCAATAGTAACCTTTTCCTAATTGACTTCCCCTCCACTCCCCTATACCCTGCCACAAGGAAAAAAAAATCATTAACTTTCAGGAGGGCAGAGAGTAATTCCAAAATGACTGAAATTCTGCCCCTAGCAGCCGCTGTAGAATGGAGCTAAAGTAAAAGATCAACATATTTATGAAAATATTAAGACACCATGTACCATGAATAACTGTGTTTGTGAAAGTTAAAAAAATTTTCTACTCTATGTGTACATTTGTTCTCATGTTTTGTAAAATTGAGATGATGTCATATAATACACTTCTATGTTCAGATGTGTTTTTTACTTAATATTCTTTCATGATACTTTTTTCACATCACTATCTTGAGAACCCACCACAGCTACCGAGTTTCCAATGCTTCTTCCAGCCAAAATAACCAAAGCCCTCTTCTAAGTACCAACTTATGCCAATACACACTCAGAGAATTAGTTTTAAAATCTGCAGTGGTCAAAATGCATTTTCTCTTGTTCAGTCCTCAGTTGTGGTGGAATAAAAGAATCCTGTTATCTTCCTAAGTAAATGAAGGATTCATATCAAGCAACTCGGCAACTTTTCTGAATACCCAGCCCTACTCCCATCACGCCATGACCCTGAATAACGAATACTGATTGTCCCCTTGAGATTTTGGGGACTTCAAGGAAGGAACAAGATCATATTTACAAAATCAGCAACAGTACTCACCTCACTGGAAATTTTTTCAACACTAGTCCAGATGTTGAGATCTTCAGCAATGCAGAAAACAATGATTATTTTGTGTGAGGGGGGAGATAAATCAGTAAAGTTCCCAGAAACGGAACTGCAGGATGTTGTAATCTTCAGAAATGCCAAGAAAATGAAGTATGTGCAAAGATAACAAGGAAAAAAGGCCTTGGTTGAGTCAGTTAGCTGACTAGTCCTGGCTTGCTCCTATTCTGTTATTGCCCCAGAGAGAATGGAGTAGGAGCAATGTGGAGACTCCTCCCACCAGTGTTTTTAGCTTTCGTTTCTGCTAGTCAGAGAAAATGAACAGTTTCCTGCTGGCAAGGGCTAGAGGGTGTGGTGAGGGGAAGTGGGGGATGAGAAATTACTTTAATGGGTCCAGTGAACATTTTTCGGGTGATGTGTACACTAAAATCTCTGACTTCCCCAATATGCCATATGTCCATGTAATGAAATTACACTTGTACCTCATAAATGTATATCAATACAAATAAATTATTTTTTTTTCCACAAAATTAAATAGCTGAAAGGAATTCCAATATTAGAACTTTCTTACCCAGCAGGCTTACATGTGGGTCATTAGAGACCTATATTGTCTAAAAAGATGCTCAAATATAAGAGAAGAAAGGTGGCTTCTTCTCCCTCCTTTCCTGTGCACAGAGTGGCAGTGGCAGGAGGAGATCTTGGTAGGAGCATCTATTGCTACTAATACTTTACTGCATCTCCTGGATGGGGAAGCATCTGCTATGAAATCGCTCTTTGTTTAAATACTACCTGAATTATTCATCCAATTGTTAATAACTGACAAACCTGGGGGACTTCCAGATCAGAAAGTCATTATGAATATGTAAACCCTTCCTCAAATTTATATGAAGGAGTTTAACACTAGCTGTCCTCTTGACTATAACTAGGTTACTTTACTTCAATGATTAGATTCATGATTGCTCATGTTTTCTGCATTATTCATGGATAAATACAAGTGGATAGTGGGCTCACAATATGACAGCATCGAAGCCTTGAAAATCCCGGAAAATGCACTGAACTTCTGGCAGCATGAGGAGCCTGTTTAATCCTTTGCTCAGCAGTGCATTTTTCTCTGTTAAGGACAATGGATGCCCTTTAGAGTGCTGTAACCCCAGGATGTTAACTAAATGGCGTCAACTAGCAGATGATGTGGTGCTAACCCAGCAGCAGATCTGCAAGCAGGATGTGGTCATGAGTTGGAAAAGGGGCCCCATTGACAGTTAATATGTACTATTCAAGGCCATCTACAGAGCAAAAGAAAGCTGATTGTTTTAATCCAAACTAGGGCCATGAAGGGGATAGCTGAATTCTGGATTTCAAACCACACGAATAACTTTATCAAAGAAGGAATAAGTCAAGAAAAAGCAAAGAGGATCTGGAATGACAGCCATAAACACCTCTGGGTGTTCATGGTGATCTTTTACTGGCTTTAGGTTGCTCTTTATGTGGATACATTGAGTTGGCCTTAAGGCAGTAGGTAGAGAAGGATATTAGGGTGGTCATTGGGAATCCCAATCCAGAGGTCAAAGGGTAAGGACCCTTGGAAGTTATGACCATTCAAAACATTTTCTGCCTTTTACTTACAATCATTTTATATGCAGTAATGTCCTCAATTGGGACTCCAGCATACAACACACAAATTGCTGTCACCAATAAGGGCAATTCAGGACAATGCTCCATAGTTCATACGGCGAAGATGAAATTTTCATAGATGAAGAAAGAAATGCTTAAAAATGTGCATTTTCCCCCACTCTGTGGCAGTGGCCAACAATGGTAATTTGTGCTATCATACAGAAAAGTCATTAGTAAAAGATAGAAACATTTCTGATAAAGCAAAAAATATACAAAAATTTCTGATAAAGTGAAAAATGTGTGAATATATATATGTATAAATTATGTAGCTACATTATTAAAGTGACTAAATTTATATTAATCAGACATTATTTTGGATAAAATCTCTCAATTGTGTACCTATTTTTTAACAACTGAGGGTTCAGTTTCCCTCTTTATGACAAAAAGCAGCTTACTATTTTACCTTTCTGGCCTCATTTTCCATACTGTTCCACATACACCAAAGTTTTAGTTGTGCAGAAACATTTATGTCACTTCACACTTTGGAGTATTTGTAGGTGACATTTCTCCTGTCAGTATTGCAAATGTCTTTACCTTGCTAAGAACAGTAAGACCTATTGCATATTGGTTTTTCATGATGCAATAGACTGTGGTACATGCATTGTTCACTTGTTTTTCAAATCAACCCTATGCAGCAAAGTTTCCCCTTTTTAGAGAAGACTACTATCTTAGTTGACTTGGGCCTTCTGGATGCGGAGGGCTCCAAAATCAAGGATGGCTAATTTGGTTTCTGGTATGAGCCCGCTTCCTGGCTTGCAGATGGCCATATTTATGTGGGGTCCTCACCTCGTGGTGAGAGAGAGAGCACCCTCTGATGCCTCTTCTTATAAGGGTACTAATCACATTATGAGGACCCCACCCTCATAAACTACCCCCCAAAGACCTTGCTTTCAAATATCATCACATTGGGAGGTTATGGCTTCATCATATGAATTTGGATAACATAATCCAGTGTGTAGCAATAATTGAAGCTATTTTCCAAAAACTAAGCTACTAGTGTTGGAGCCAGATTCAAACCAGATCCATCTTATTCCAAAGCCCATGCACTTGACCGCTAAGCAAAATTTCTTCCTTGATTTACTAATTTTTACACACATTTTATTCTTTAGCAAAACATTCATATCCCATTTAAGCTTATGTGAATGTCATTTTCTTCATTATCTCTTTACAGATTCTCCACTTAACAATATTAGCACAAGGGCATTGTTTGGGTTCTCATGCTTCCTGCTGGGGCTGGACACTTGCTGTTAAAACACAGGAATCTGATTTTCCCAAAGCCTAAACTCAATTATTTTCTTTTTTTGGAATACTAACATTTGTCTCTCCAACTCTTACATGAATGAAACCATGAATTTCAGATATTGGCTTTGATGTTTTGTCCATTGATTCTCAGTTGAAATTAGAAATCAAAGTTTATCTCTTTCATCATACTTGGTTTTGTGCTGTTTCCTTTTCCCCACTACATCCATTTTTTTTTTCTGTATTATCTTGTATGTCCTAGATTGTGTTCTACTTAACATACGTATTTTGTGATTAAAATTAAAGTATATTATTATATAATAGGGCTAAAGGCCAATTCAATTCTATAGACAAACTGAGATAAGTGTTAGAAATGCAAAATAATACAGAATTATGGACATACAAGATGGGAGAAGTTTATGGTGCAAATACCTATCGCCTTGGTCCTTTTTTCTTTTTCTTTTATTTTTGGCACTTGCACCAAGGGTGAATGTAGTGAAATAGTTAGGTGGCTATTGTGAAAACGCCCTGCTGGACTAAGAACCACCCTATATAAGCACAAGGCAAGCTCAGACCAAAGAAGAGGCAGACCACTCCAGGCTGGTTGGTAGTCAAAGAGCTAGTCAGGAGAAACTTACATAGGAGGCAGTCTTAAGCGGCAGCAAGAGAAGGCAGATCTCCTCCTCCGCAATGCACGTATGAGTAGTCTTTCATACAATGAGAAAAAAAGAGGAAGGAAAAGCCAGTAGGGGGCTGAGGGGTGGGGATAGCTATACTGATAGTGCCTTAAGCCATCTGGTTGCTCTCTTAATCTATTTACTTCCTGCTTAAAGGGATTGTTTGAGTTTTCTTCAATCTGTTCCACATTGCTAAGGAGGGGGAGGATGTTCCTGGAAGCAGCAGTTACATCTTGGCGCCAGTATGCATTTTCCAGTGAGACTGCAGCCTCCTATAACTCAATTTGAGGTCAGTTCCCAGAACACATTTTCACAACAATGCCATTCCTTTCTCTCCAATCTGAATGCTTCTCTCAGCCAGTCCTTACTTGAAATTTTGTAGTTTCTGTATTGCAGTTTTGTATTTTACTTTTCCTGTTGCCCAAAACTAATGCCATAAACTCCAGACAACTCTGTTGGCTGAAAGGGCTTCTGTAGTTCTAGGGTCGACCTCTTTACTTTGGAATGGAATAAAAAAGAGACTCAGTGTTGAGGTGGGAGAGGAGAGTGAATACATATGGAAACCTTGGGAGTGATGTGAACCAGTCATGATATACTGTACACAGCCAGAGTTGGCATCAGTCATCTCATGTTTATTGCATGTCACATGGAGAAAATATGAATGAAAAGTTTCTGTCTCATGAAAACTGTTCTCTGACCCTCCCTGTAATGGACACGCATACTTTCCCACTGTTTTAGTCTGTATAGTGCTGCTGTAATGGAATACTATAGACTGGGTAATTTATACAGAACAGAAATGTATTTCTCACAGTTCTTGAGGTGGAAGTCCAAGCTCAAGGCATCAGTAACTGGCGAGGCCTTCTTGCTGTGTCCTCAAATGACAAATGGGGTGAATTCACTCCCACAAGCCCCTGTTAAGAGTGGCATTAATCTGTTTATGTGAGTGAAACTCATCATCTAAATACCTCCCATTTGGCCCCACCTCCCAACACTGTTGCATTGGGTACTAAGTTTCAATATTATTTTTGAAAGGAGTAAAAACATTGATAGTTTCTACTTCTCCGGCTTTATCTCTGCTATCTTCATTCTTTATTTGCTTATTTTATTTAAAACTATTCTCCAGAAAGCATTCTTTGAGGACCTTTACTAGATTGATAATTTCTTTGCTCTGTTTCATTTCAGGACTTCACTTTTGGCTGTCAAAATTTCCCTTGGTATAATTTATCGCTAAAATTGAAGATGAGATTCTCTACTGTTGTCAATAATGAACTCCTAAACATCTGGTTTTGGGAATTCTTTTTTTTTTTTCTTTTGAGATGGAGTCTTGCTCTGTTGCCCAGGCTGGAGTGCAATGGCACGATCTCGACTCACTGCAAACTCTGCCTCCTGGGTGCAAGTGATTCTCCTGTTTCAGCCTCCTAAGTAGCCAGAATTACAGGCATGCACCACCAAGCCTGGCTAATTTTTGTATTTTCAGTAGAGACAAGGTTTCACCATGTTGGCCAGGCTGGTCTCAAACCCCTGATCTCAAGTGATCCACCTACCTTGGCCTCCCAAAGTGCTGGGATTAGAGGCATGAGCCACGGCGCCCTGCTGGTTTTGGGAATTCTTACCCCAAATTACTAAAATCTATAATTTACTCAGATTTGCTTAGCAGTAAGGGCAA